TTTGCTGGTGCTCTCAGCAGTTTTGGCTTCTCCCAGGTTCCCAGCTTACATTTTCTGTCTAAAGTAGGTATGTCCTTCTTAAGGCTTATCTTCGTTCTAGATGTTTTTTATCTGGATTTGCTGGTGCTCTCACCAGTTTTGGCTTCTCCTACGTTCCCAGCTTATTTTTTTTCTGTCCAAAGTAGATTTGTCCTTCTTAAGTCATATCTTCTTTCTAGATGTATATAGATGTTTTTCTCTAAATTGTCCAAAGGGAAAGAGCCTTCAACAATTAATGTTACATTTTTAGTATATTGGCTCAAAAACCGGAAAAATGTAACTTAGCTAATATTGGCTGAACGTGGTGGGGGGGAGGGGGTCTACAGGAGTTAGATTTCGTGCTTATGTTCAATAAACAAAATGTAAGCTAGGGGGTCAAAAATGTAACATTACATTTTTGACGTCTCAAACAAACATGTTATATTACATTTCTGACCCTCAAATCTAGGTAAAATGTAAGTTACATTTAGGGTCCTCCCCCTGTTAAGTTGCTTGAGTTTAGTGTTTTTGCTCGCAAGAAGTGTTTTGCACCAATGTTATTTGGAAAAAATGAAAGAAGTGTTTTGGTGTTTCCGTGGCCAAGTCTTAAAACACTTGCACAACCAATAACCATTCGACCCTTCTTCTCACCCTCAATACCCTGAAACACTACAGCCATCAGTCACAAATTCCCAAAGCGCAAGCACCAAATGCCGTTTTTTTAACAAAAAATGCAAGCAGTCTCACTAATCCAAAGATCAGCTCTTCTTGAACAGCTTTCGCAGGTCTTCAAACAAACTTCCTACAAAGTGTTTACAAAGTTTTGGATCTTTACAAAAATTTGACAAAGTTTTGGAATTACAATTTTTTACCGAGTTTTTGCATTACAAAGTTTTAACAAAGTCTACAAAGTTTAAAGATAGAAATAACAAACTTCACAAAGTTTTTGGACACTTACAGTACATTGAATTTTACAAAACTTTGGAACTACGAAGTTTTTACAAGGTATTGAACCTTTAGATATCTGAACAAAGCTTTGGACATTTATCAAGCTTTGAACAAGTTTTGGAATTTTACAAAGTTGTTACCAAGTTATTGAGTTTGAAAGTTTTTACAAAGCTTTTACAAAAGTTTTTGATGCTTACAAACTTTCTACAAAGTTTCGGTTTTTTCAATCTGTGTCAAAACTTTGTAAACTTTACTATTTGAAAACTTTGCAAAACGTTGTAAACTTTGTAAGAACTTTGTAAATACTTTGTAAACTTTGTAAAAGCTGTGTAAGCTTTGTAGAAAATTTGGTGAAATTCTAAAACTTTGTAAACTTTCAAAACTCTGCAACAACTGTGTAAAGATTGAACAAATTTTGCAAACTTTGTCAAAACTTCGTAAACTGCTGTTAAAATTGTAAACTTTTTAAACACTGAAACACTTTAAACTTCGTAAACCTTTGTAAAAACTTTGTACACTTTGTAAAACTGTGTAAAAAACTGCGAAAACTTTGTGTAAAAAATTGTAAAATGCGAAAACTTTGTCAAAACTTTGTAAAACACTTGTAAACTTTGTCAAAACTTTGTGAACTTTGTCAAAAAGTTTGTAAACATTGCAAACTTTGTACACTTTGTACTAACATTTTGTAAACTTTGTAAAAATTTTTTAGATGTTGTAGGCCTTCGTAAACTCTATTTAAAAAAAGACCGTTATAAACTTCGTAGCACTTTGCAAACTTTGTAAAACGTTTTTAAACTTCGTAAACTTTGTCAAAGCATTGTAAACATGAAGACCTTGTGAACGTTGTGAAAACTTTG